CCTTCTGGATAAGCTATGTACATAGCTCGGGGATTGCTTGCGTGAGCAGACTCAAGGCTGACTTTAGGGGATTAGGCAGGTCGGGTGCTGGGCCTCGTAGTCTCGGGGGACCTAAGCAGGGGGGAATTTGTTTACAGGCCACCTCCAGGGGCTGGGGCAGTGTTTATGGGAAGAGGCACAGGCTATCTGCCTGGGGGCTTTGGACACGAGCTGAGTGCTTGGGAGGACATGCAGTGTTTGTGCATCGGACACACCAATGGGGCCAGATGGCTTCTGAGCTTGGAAAGAGGGATGTCCACCCAAACGCTCTCACTAGGGGCCTTATGCGGCCGGCCACTGTTGCTGGGTCTGCCATACAAGAGTGGGGCCGGGTTTGCAAGGAAGTGTCCATGCTCTCCCTGGGCCCCGGAACCTGATACCAAGCCAGGCTCTCATCTGGGGCTGGGAATCCAGCCCAGGCTCAGTCCCAGCGTCTCCTGCTTCTGGGCCCTCATCACTGTTGGAGGTTTCCTGGGGCCTCTGGTCTCTGAGCAAGGGGCTCGTCCAGGTCCAGGGCTGTAAGCTCCACGCTGTGGCCCGCTCCTACAGGTTCCTAAGCTCAAACAGGGCCCCATCCAAACCCAAAGAAAATGGGACAGGCTGTTAGGCAGCCAGCACTTTCTAGCTTCATTGCAGTGACTCAGTGTGAGCTCCTAAGTATGGGCGTGGGACTAGGGAGGAAATTCTCTCCCGACACAGAGCTAATTCTGTCCCGGGGCTGGCGGCCAGCCTGCGGTGGGAATATCTGCAGTGCAGTGTGGTTTCGAGGTTCCTGAGTCCCTCCGAGCTGGGGATCCAGGGATTGTAACCCCTAAGGTGTGTCTCTCGGAGAGCGATCTGTCGGGCGGTGGGCAACTGGCGCGCGGGGGCAGCCAGGGAACTCTGCAGCAGACAGACGTCAGAACCTACAGAGGCTGCCGGGGCCGGTGGGAGGCGAGCATGCGGCTGAGGAGGGCCTTTTGTGAAGGAGGAGTGGTGCGTGGAAGGCCCCTTTACACTTCAGTTGCGGGCCAAGGCTGTGATCTTGGGCAAGGAGAAATAGCACAGATTTGGGGGTCAGAGCATCCTCGGTTCAAATCCTAGGCTGAGGCTTAAAGGCCACGGGAGCCCTGCTCGGCCACTTCACCTCTCTGAGTGAGCCTCCGTTTGCAGATCTCTGCAGGGAGGCTCCAGAGGGGTGAGGCGTGAGGGGGGTGTGACGGGCCAGGCAGAGGTCTGGGCTCCGGGGACACACTACACACAGGACAGACTGAGCCCCTCTTCTTCTCTGTGGCTTAGGGAGGGTCACTTGCTCCGTCTGGACCCCAGTTTCTCCAGTCACAAAACGGGGTGCCCGCTGAGGGAGAGGCATCCCCCTTCCCGAGGTTGCAGGGAGCTGGAGGAGAGGCCTCCGGGGCTGCCATCTGGCCCGTCAGGGTGGGCCGTGGGGGAGGTGGCAGAGGAGGACGTCAGCCAGGCCAGACCTCCCCCTTGAAGGGAAGCGCTTCCTGCCTTGGGCCCGTGGCCAGGAGGTTAGTGGCAGGCCGGCCGTGGCTGGAGAGGCAGCGGGGTGGGAGAGCGAGGGGCCGCTGGTAGCGGGGGGCCGGGTCAGCGCAGAGGTGAGTGAGGGCAGGCGAGGTGCCGGCTGAGCCTCTCACGGGGGAGGACTGGGACTGGGGGCGGGGAGACAGAAGACAGGGAGACTACACGGAGGAGAGAGAGACACGGAGACGCACACGCAGAGCTGAGGAGAAAGAGAGAGAGGGGCTGAAGGATGAGAAGCAGGGAGAGACCCCGACCGACAGACACAGACGGAAAGGGAGCTGAGTTCTTTGCAGCCTTAGGGCACCTGTTTAGCCGAGGGGCATGAACAAAGACACAGAGGGGAAGCCGGAGGCACATGGCTGCTGCCCAGATGCCTCCCAGCCCTGCTGTCCCCTGAGCCCGTGGGGACACAGGCCAGCAGGCAGTAGCTGGGGAAGGTGGGGCCTTGGACGCAGATGGACCAGATTCAAATCCCTGCACTGCCGCTCGCCAGATGTGTGACTTCAGGCAAGCAACCCCACCCCCACCCCCTCTGGCCTCAGCCATCTCCTTGAGAAAGCAGGATTGGTGACAGCCACCCTCGCAGTGTTAGGGGGAGGTCCGGGTGGGGAAAGGCCCCCGTAGTGCATCCCAGCCTCCAAGCCCGGGCCGGGGGCAGCAGGCTCCACGCATGCCTGCAGGATGGATGCACGAATGCATCCCCATCTCCAAAAGACTTTTCCTGCAGCACCTGGGATCATGACACATTCCCATTCGGACCATTCACTAGAGACAGGGGGGCCCAGCAGAAAACTCACGAGGAACCTGGAACCTCGTTTTGCCCCATCTGAAAAATGCACACCATGAACCCTGCCAGATTGACCCCGGTGGGGGCTCTTAGGTGGTTCCACTGGAGCAAAGACCAGAGAATTCCAGAATGTTCCGGGCAGGCAAGGTGGTAGACAAGGAAAGAGAGTGGGTTTGGCAGTTCGGCAGGCTGAGTTTGAAGCCCAACATGACACCTACCTGCCTGGAGCTTCCTCCTCCATCCACAGTGCCTGATTTGACCTACCTTGCTTACCTGAGCGATCTGTGTGACCTTGGGCACGTTACTCACCCTCTCTGGGCCTCAGTTTCCTCTTCGTAATAGTGCCTAGAATGGTGCCTAGAATGTAGTGAGGGCTAAATACATGTTTGTTTAATAAAAATGAAGCCAGTAACATCCACCTGAGGTTTTTGCTCTCTGTGGCAGGAGGAATCAGATGTGAACTTGAGCCCCCATCCGTCCTGGGCAGGAGCTGGGCTCGCCAAGGAGGTACGAGGCCTTGGGTGCCACGGAGCCAGCTTACTCTGGGCCAGGGCTTCCAGTGGCGCATCCAAGTTCATTCCCAGTCTGAGAGGAGGCTTCGGGGTGGGGCACCGAAGGGCCCTGGGCCCGGCCAAGGCTGCTCTCTTGGTCCTCAGCCGGCCAAGCGTGGCTTCATCAGGGGTTCAGGGATGCAGGCGTGGGCTGAGCACTGCCCGAACATGAACACCAGCCAAGGATTCGGGGTGTCTGTTTGTTTGCTCTGGGTTTTCCTGGACCTCAGGAGATGAGAGAGGGCTGACACAATGACACCCCTGCATCCATCCTCATTCACATCGCCAGCCTCCGGAAGCCCCCACACTTGACCTCTCTTTCTTCACGGTGCTCATTTCCTCTTAGCCGCATTTTCTGTCCTTCTCCCTCCCACCGCTGCTCCCACGGGGCCATTGTAAATCTGTTCAGTGTGCATCTTGTTATTTGGCGGTGTTCTTGCAAAATGTTTGTTACTGTTTTGTGTGCATCGCTGCTTTTGCGTGTGTGTTTTCAGTGCACTTAAGTGCTGTTATGGTTAGGTGGTTTTAAGATGCTCCAAATACTGCTGCTGTGTATACCCTGGATGATCTGTTGCTTTTACCAGCTGCACAGCATTCACTGGTTCCCTCTCCCACAATGGACATTCAGGGGCCTCCAGCTTCCAGCCATCAGTGGACACCTCTGTGTGCTTGCCCTCCCCCCAGCCCCCCGGAATCTTGGTTGTTTTTGTGCACACGGTCTCCCCGTGGTCTCTTGCCCCTGACAGCCAGACCTTCACTCTTTGTTGGAGGATTGACCTCAGGGGCTGGGAGTGCCTGGGAATGCACATGGGCAGGGCAGAGGGATACAAATACTCAGCCTCCTGGACCGTGACCTCCATTGTTCCCTGAGCGCAAGCAAGAGCCAAGGGCACCTTCTGCACCCTTGCCCAGCCTCCTCCCCTTCCGGATCCTATTTCTCCACTCCCTTACTGATTTTTCCTGGAACATTTCCTTGATAAATCACTTTTGCAGGGATCCTCACTTGAGGTTTGCTTCTGGAGAGCTAAAGCTAAGTCATGCCCCCCCGCCACACACACACACACAAATACTGCACATGAGCGTCCTGCTGTTTGGTGCCTCCCGGGGCTGGAAGGTGCACAGGGGTTCACGGGTACCCACAGTGTGGCATGAGAGCCGTGCGCCCCCACCCTGCCAGCCTGAGGGGTAGACATGCCAGCTTTGTATTCGTGCCATAGTCCAGTGGGCACAAAGTGTTAATCTGGCTGTGGTTCTCATTTGCATGTCTTCGAGCAAGAATTTGTCATATGCTGACATTTGGAAGTTTCCCTCTGGTAAATTACCTATTCATATCATTTGACCTTTGTTCTGTTGGGATTGCTCTCTTTTTGGATTTGAAGGAAGGAGTTTCTTGTACATTGTAGATGACAATCCCTTGATGGGTTTGGAGATTATAAATATCTGGGAGGCAGGCAGCCCTGGAGGCAGGGCCTGTGTGTGTGTGTGTGTGTGTGTGTGTGTAACCCATTGGAGGGATGGGACTTGGGCCCCAGCGTGGGTGAGGCCATGGGGCAGAGAGCTGGGGATAAGACCCCCCACACTCAGTGTGAACCATCTGGAGGAACCACAAATAACAGTGCTAGGTTATAACAATAATGCCAACGTGTAGGTGTTATAGATTGAATTGTATCCCCCCCACCAAATTTGTATCTTGACGTCCGAACCTCCAGTATCTCAGCATGTGACTGTATTTGGAGACAGGGCCTCTGAAGAGGTGGTTAAGGTAAAATGAGGTCATTAGGGTGGACCCCAATCCCTCCTGACTGGGCTCCTTATAAGAAGAGATCAGGATGCAGACCCACACAGAGCGAAGACCATATAGGACGCAGGGAGGAGGTAGCTGTGTATGAGCCAGGGAGAGGGACCCTCGGAGAAACCAATCCTGCCAACACCTCGATCCTGGACTTAGAGCCCCCAGAACTGTAAGAAAATCAACATCTGTTGTTTGAACCATCCAGCCTGGGGTCCTTCGTTACAGCAGCCCGAGCCGACTGCTACGGTAGGCAAGACGTGCCATGTTCCCAAAGCCTTGGGGGAGAAGGGCACCTGCCTCCTTGCAGGACTGTTGCCCGGGTCAGCATTTCTAACGGGCTTGGCCCCTGCCACACAGAAGTGTCCGGTAAATGACGAAGCCGGTAATGAATACCACACGTACCTCTTAAGCACTTGGGCTGTGCCAGGCACTGAGCTGGGGACTGGTGAAGAATGAGCGTCTGCCGTCCGGCAGGCCTTTTCGGGGTGCTGGGGGAGCAGCGGGTAGGACGTGGTCAGCATCGCAGGGAGAGGACTGGGCGCTGGCCAGAGTGGAGATGAAGGGACCAGTGGGGTCAGAAGCGGGTACCGATAGAAAACTCTAGAGGATGCTGATTCTGGCCACCCCCACCCCCACCCCACAAACACCAGCAACAGTGACAAAGACTACAGTGGCCTTAGGCTCTACAGGGTGTGTGTACAGTGCTTCACAGACCTTACTTTACCTCCCTGTGCCTCCGTGTCCCCATCTGTAAATGGGTACACTCATGTCCCGGCCGCAGAGGGCTGTCATAAGGGGGGTGTGAAGTGTGTGGCCTGCTGTCCAGCACACGGGAGGTGCTCTGTTAGTTACAGTGGTGAGCTTTCGTGCCCCAGGCAGCGCCCAAGTGCCCCAAAACACACCCCACCTACTCAAGCCTCACAGCAGCCTGGGGATTAGTCCTCGGATCGGCCCCGCTGCGCTGGGATCGCAGTGGAGCCCCCGAGAGGGCTCAGCCCCCATCCAGGCTGCTGTAGCAGGATGCCCGAGACTGTGGGGCTGAAGCAACAAACCTTCATTCTCACAGTTCTGGAGGCTGCGAGGTCCAAGACCACACCTGAACAAGTTGCTTCTCCTCTGGGCCTCTGTTTTGGGACCTGCCAAATGGGGATGATAAGAACACTTGTCCTGCCTGCTTCTCAGGGCTGCTGGGAGGGTGAGCTGAGGCCATAAAGGAAAAGAAAGCCATCCTTTCCTTCGTGCGCTTCCTGTAGGTCTCCGGGAGGGGATGCCAGGGAGGAGGGGGCGCCGAGGCAGGGTGCTCTCTCCGTGGCCTGGGCAGTCTGTCCTAGCGGTCTCAGAGCAGCCCAGCTCAAGGTGTTCCAAATGGGTGTAAGCTCAGGGTCACTGGTCCTGAGAACTGGGGAAGGTGGACTCCTTGAGGGGCTAGGAAAAGGAGAGCAATGCGTAGGTGCCCGGGAAGATGGAGCTGGACGCCCTAGTGCATGAGGAGGGGTGAGGACAGATGTAGCAAGAGGTGCTCCGCCTTCTGGAAAGCACAGTGGTTAAGAGCAGGGCTCAAGGTCTGATCATCCTGGGCGTGAATTGGTCACCAGCCTCGACAATAGCCTCGCTCCCTCGCCTTCACATGGGGGAGTCACAGCAGCACCACTCCCGGGGCTTCCTGGGGACGTGTGAGCTAGTGCAGTGAAAGTATTTATATAGCGTTTGGGCTCTTGTGTGCACCCAATCAATCATTATTTATCACCCGGAAACCAGTGGAAAGTATAACTCGCCTCAGACCTAAGAAGCAGCCGGAACCAGTGCAGAAGGCTGAGGGGAGGCAGCAGGGTGGATGCCGTTGCTGCCTTTGACCTGCAAATGTGACTCTGAGCTTCCTTGTGGCCACGTCAAAAAGGGAAATGTGATCAGTTGTTGAACTTGAATTATTAAGAATGAGGAAACAGTCCAGTGTCTCAGGGGAAGCAATGTTGTTCTTTACCCTGAATTCTCCTGGGCATTTCCCACTGAGCAGGGGCCTTCACAGAGGGCACCCGAGAGAGGCAGTGGGTGGGCCATGGCTCATGGACCGGGATACACATGGAATTGCAGGTATGATTTTCACGTGGAGCCGAGTCTAAGCATCTTGAAGGAAAGACGAAGGGGAACCTGGCAAGGTGGCTCAGGGAAGGCAGCTCTGTAGGAGGATCAAGAATGTGACGAAGGTCTGAGCTCTCGGGCTTCAAAGCTAAGGCTTAAAGAGCTCCAAGGGGTGAGTGGCGGGACTGGGGACCGCTTAATCCCTCAGGGAAGCAGGGGGAGCCCAAGACACTGCTCACTTGGGGTCCTTGGAGGTCCGAACTTCCCACCTGTGTGGCCTTGGGCAAGTTGCTTCACCTCTCTGAACATTTTTTGCACCTGCAAGTTAAAGTTACCCCTTCAGGGCTGTCGGGAGCATTGCATGGAGCCTGGCCGAGCAGTGTTGGGCATATAGTGAGCACTCAAATAAATATTGGCTATGTGTATATACACATACAATGGATCTATAGTTATACTTTCTTCAGGAGCTTCCTGATTACTTGTTTAAGCAACACAAATAACTAGAACTTTATAGCTCTTTTTAATTTACAGTTGGCCAAGGGTTCGTTCTCGCTTCACCTGACCTTCCCAACAACACGAGGGAGGCATTCTTACCCCTATTTGAGAGGCAAAGAGATTAGAGGAGCTTAGAGAAGCAAAATCCTTGCCTGTGTCACCCTTGATCCGCCCTTGAACCCAGAAGTGGGGAGATAAGTGGGCAGGACTCACTGGTCCTGTGGCCTTCCCGGCCCCTCCTCCCTTCCCAGGCCAAGTTCATTTTAGGCGGGCCTTAAGAGTAGAATCCTGGGGCATAGCAAAAATGGGAACAGCATAGTGCTTGCCCTGTTCTAAGAACTTTACACGTGACTTTCAAGCCTCACAGCCATCCCATGAGTTAGAGACTGTGAGGATCACACCCATTTTACAGATAAGACAACTGAGGCGCAGAGAAGCTAACTGACTTGCCCGTGCTCACAGGAGTTTTGTGCAGACCCAGGATTTGGGAGCTGGCAGCCTGGCCAGGCCCCAGCATCTGTGTCCTCTACCCCTCCGCTGTACTGCGCAGAAACGGGCTCAGGCGGGAGGGATGTGGGTCAGGACAGGCCGAGGGCGGGCGTGTGATGAAACGCTCTCCCGGGAGGGCCGAGGGGCTCAGGGGGAGGGCACAAGCCAACTGGGGACACTGACTCACTTGATTCCTAGTCGGCTGAGGGGGTGGACGGATGGACACGACCAGAGGATGTCAGCGCCACTTTGGGCTGCCTCAGCCTGCCCACACCCCGCCCTGCTCACAGATGAGAAGACGTGGCCTCTGACCCCGAGCTGCTCCCGGCCCAGCCAGAGAGCCAGATGTGACGTTATCTGTGTCCAGGGCATCTCTGCAGACGCTGTGCAAAGTGCTGGATCCCCACTCCTCTTCACTCTCCTCTTGGGGCTCAGACACCCCCCCACCCCGCCACCGACGGCCAATGAAGGAGGCATGCTGGGCCCGGGGAGACTATCCTGCCTGCCCCAAGAAGTGTAGGACTGATGCCCAGGCTGGGGGACACCCCTCTCCAGCCTGCTTTGGGCTTCCTGGCCTTGCTCCGGCCCCAGCACACCTCTGTCCTGTGCCTTGTGACTGGCTGTGAGCTCCTGTGGGAAGGGACCCTAGGGAAGCCATTTCCTCATCCCTGCGGCCTCACGGCCCAGCGTAGGGAATGAGGACATGGTCATTTTGTTCTCAAGGAAATGCTTGGTGCCTGTCATCGGACCATGATTTCAGGGGCAGCACGTAGGGATGGTGAGAGCCCTTGTTCAGCAGACCTGGTCATGACCACCAGTCATATTCCCCCCCAGTTATGGGGGTGGGGCATGCTGTTCCCATGTGCTCTCTGCATTCCAGGGGCCACAGGAAGCCCCGGGGGACCCCTCACTGGGCACGTTGGGACTATCTTCCCAGCCTGCAGAAGTAGGATGATACCCAAGTGGGGTGACACTTGAATTCTGAGTCCCTTGAACCCAGAGTGATGCTCAAGGGGCTTGTCCAAGTGGCTTTTATTTAATAAAAGCGAAAGATGACTTTTCTGCCATCAAATACAACCTCAAGCCCATTAAGGACCAGCAGTGCATTTCCACAGTGGGAGTTGAGTTATTTATAATGAAGCACTGATTGGCAGTCTCGAGAGCTGAACATCTGGTTTGGAGCCCATGTGTCAGGATGGGAAGAGCTTGGGTGGTGGAAGGTGCCTGGGCGTAGGGCTGTCAGAGCCCCGAGTTCAAATCCCATCTTGGAATTCAGCGGTTTCCGCCCCCACCAACCCGGGCCCTAACGGAATCACTAATACTTTTTGAGGGTTTATTATGCGTCAGCACGGAACCGATGAGCCATATTGCCAGGGCCTGCGATTTTTACATCCATTCTGCGAAGGAGTGAGTATCCCCATTTTATTGATGAGGAAGCAAAGGCTCAGAGAGGAGTCATGGATCCAAAGCCACATAGCTGGCAGACGGTCGAGGTTGGGTTTGAACCATGCCCGCGGGCGTGCCTCCAAGACCTCCCAAGCTTGCCAGCTCCCCGGAATCTCAGTGCGTTCCTCCTTAGATTGGGAAAATCCCCAACAAGGTGGTTCTGGGAATTGGCCCAAGTACCACTTAAGTTGCCTGGCACATGGTAGGTGCTCAGTGAATGTATTCGTGTCTGTCTCCTCCCCAGGCTGTCGCGCCGGTGGGTCTGCATGTGATCCACAGCCCCCACGGGGCCCGGGCAATGCCCAGGGGGAAGGAGGCTTCTCTCTCTGGGCCTCGGTTCCCCAGATCCAAAACGGGAGTCACCACGCCTGCCTGAAAGAGGCCCTGGGAAGACAAACCGAGGGGCGTAGTGGGTGTTCAGGGCCGTTCCTCTTCTGTCGTCCCAGTTACTGGAATGGTGCTTTCTGGGGCCGTCCTGGCAGCACTCACATGGAGCTATCCGCACACACCCCCCCGCCGCACCCCCTTCCCCCCCGTGCCTTCCTCTGCCCCTGCCCCTGCCCCTGGTGCAGGCCCTCCTCTAGATGTGCTTGGGTGGGGCGGGGGTTGGGATGAAGGCGCCGGCACCTCATCTGGGTTCCAGGGGCTCCACCACTCCCCAGCCTCTGCCCTTGGGCATCACTTAGCCTTTCTGAGCCTCTGCTTCCTCCTCTGTAAACTGGGAGCGGTGACAACAGATCCCATCTCTGGCTCTATCCCTGGATCCAGCCACTACCTCTCTGTCCTTTCCTGCAGGTGTTTCTAGCTGTGCCCCGGGACTGACTGGCCAAGGACCCCCATCGGAGAGCCTTGGACACCCTAACAGTGCACGGTGAGGGGCTTCTGTGGTCTGAACGAATGTCTCCAAAGGGCACTGGGGGGGGACCCGTGACGAGGTGGGAGCACTTGGAGAATGCCAGCACAGGGTTTGGGAAACATGGCTGGAACCAAGTTCCCAGCACTACTGCACCCCTCCTTCATTACACCGAGCATCACTGCGATTTTACCACGAGTTGAGGAATCTGACGAATGTTCGTTTCCCTCACTAGACTATAAGGGGAAGGGGGGGCTCCCAGAGAGGCAGCAAAACAGGGTTGTCAGGAGAACGGACTCTGAAGGAGGGGTGTGGCTCCCGGCTCCGCCTCTTCTCCGTTGTGTAACCTCGGGCAAGTGACTTAGGCTCTCTCCACCTCAGCTTCCCCGTCTGTAAAATGGGGTTTGTAGTTAAGTAAGTACTTAAGCCGTCAAGATACCAAACTGGCCTGGCTCAGAGTCAGGCAGAACGCTGTCGGCCTTGCTGGTGTTGGCCAACCTCTTAGAGCCAGTCCCCTCACGCTTCCCCTACTGACCCCTGTCTCCCTCCGCAGAGAATGGGCGACGAGGATTACAACACCTCCCTCGCCTACGATGACTACTCGGATGATTTTGACCCCATCATGGTCTTGGAGGAGTCTTCTCCCTTGGAAGGCAAGGTGGCCAGGATCTTCCTGGTGGTGGTCTACAGCATCGTCTGCTTCCTCGGGATCCTGGGCAACGGGCTGGTGATCATCATCACCACCTTCAAGATGAAGAAGACGGTGAACACTGTCTGGTTCCTCAACCTGGCCGTGGCGGACTTCCTGTTCAACATCTTCCTCCCGATCCACATCGCCTACGCCGCCATGGACTACCACTGGGTCTTTGGGACGGCCATGTGCAAGATCAGCAACTTCCTGCTCATCCACAACATGTACACCAGCGTCTTCCTGCTGACCGTCATCAGCTTTGACCGCTGCATCTCTGTGCTCCTCCCCGTCTGGTCGCAGAACCACCGCAGCGTGCGGCTGGCCTACGTGGCCTGTGTGGTCATCTGGGTCCTGGCTTTCTTCCTGAGCTCTCCGTCCCTGGTCTTCCGGGACACGGCCCGCGTGCATGGGAAAATATCCTGCTTTAACAACTTCAGCCTGTCCGCGGCCGGCTCTGCCCCGTGGCCCGCTCACACCCGCCTGGACCCCGTGGGCTTCAGCCGGCACATGGTGGTGACCGTCACCCGCTTCCTCTGTGGATTCCTGGTCCCCGTGCTCATCATCACGGCCTGCTATTTCACCATCGTCTGCAAGCTGCGGCGCAACCGCCTGGCCAAGACCAAGAAGCCCTTCAAGATCATCATGACCATCATCATCACCTTCTTCCTCTGCTGGTGTCCCTACCACACGCTCTACCTGCTGGAGCTCCACCACGCCACCATGCCCGGCTCCGTCTTCAGCCTGGGTCTGCCCCTGGCCACGGCCATCGCCATCGCCAACAGCTGCATGAACCCCATTCTGTACGTCTTCGTGGGCCAGGACTTCAGAAAGTTCAAGGTGGCCCTCTTTTCCCGCCTGGTCAACGCTCTGAGCGAGGACACGGGCCACTCCTCCTACCCCAGCCACAGGAGCTTTACCAAGATGTCGTCGATGAACGAGAGGGAGACCAGCATGCTTTGAGGCTCATCCGGGAAGCCCGATGGACAGACACTCCGGCCTTGGAGGCCCCGAGCTCTCTGCCTTCTCAAGACTGCGGCAGGAACCTCTTCAGGACCCACTGATGCCCGCTGTAGTCTGCCCGGGGCTGACCCGTGTTTTGAGCTGGGAGCCCAGGGCCTGGAACTCCTTTCTTCGAGTGGCCCGGTGGACAGGGCATGCCGTGTCCTCTCAACCATCTGGACTGACTCTGTGAGGACCTGGGGCCTGGGGGAGGCGGGGGAGGGAGGCGAGCTACGGCCCTCAAAGGAGGCAGCCTGAAGGTGCTCACCCTCGAACTTCCCAGGGTGATGGTGCTTTGGGGGCGGTGGCTATTTGGGGGATGGGGGTGGTGCCAGCCCCTCGCCCCAGGCCCCCGCTCTCCCCTTGCCTTTGTTGCCTGGGGTCTGGGTCATGGCAGGCAGCGTCACCCACAGCTTCCACCCCGTCCCCGGGGACTGTCCCTTCCTTCCCTGGTCCACCGGCTCTGACTGCCAGTGCTCAGAATTAAGCACGCCAGGTCAGGGGGCCGGGGAAGGACGGCCTGTCCTCCTCCTCAGCTTCCTCAAAGCCTTGCCAAAATCAGCTTCAGGAAGCAACCTGGGAGCGGCCTGCAGGTTGCAGAGAAGGTCCAAGGGCTCCGTCACTGAACTCAGCAGAGCCTGCAGGCTGGGCCCTTGTCGCATGCCGCTGAGATGCAGGCCGCGGGGACGCCACGGGCGTGGAGCCCCTCCACATGCAGCCCTGTTGCCTTTTCTCAACGAGGACTGACACCTTCCTGGGCTGCAGTGTCATTGTCCCACTTAGAGATGACAAAGCCGAAGCTCCGTGGGGGTGGGGCGGGGAGTAACTCACCCAGCGCCGCGCGACTAGCCAGAAGCAGAGTTAAGATGTGAACTCAGCTCTGTCTGGCGCCAGATCCTCTGTTTTTTTAATGACGAATGTATCCATTGAGAATATTCTAGACTCTCATGATAGCCTGCATTTATTAGCACCCCCTACCCTAAACACTGTCCATGTATTATCTCATGTATTCCCCCTGGCAGGCCTGAGTTCCGTACAGTTAGTTCTGCCCTTCTACATATGAGGGATAGCTGAAGCTCAGAGAGGTTAAGTAACTTCCCTGAGGGCATCCAGCAGGCCTCTGCCAGAACCTGGATTTGAAACTAGGTCTGCCTGGCTCAAAGAAAGCTGCAGAATCAGGGTTTTGAGAGACGCTTGGGGTTTTGACCATAAACATTGACTCCTCGGCAGATTAATATAAACCTCTTACTAGCCCATAAGCCAGCCTTGCAAATAGTTTTCCAAAATGACCCAACATGGCAAAGAAAGTACACTTGGCCTCCAGTCCCCTGACGCCCGTCCACTCATGCCCACCATGTTTCCCATCTGCTGCACCCCCCTGAGACCTCCAGGGAAGGCGGTGGGGGGACAGAGGCCGTCACTGGTGGGCCCTCTGGCCCTCCACATTCTCTTGTCTTCCAAGTGTTGTTGTGAAGCCAATTCCGTGACAAGACGCAATGAACAGATGTAATGTCTACACAGCGCTGGGCACGTTCCCGAGGCCATGGGCTATTTGGAAATCACACCTCATTAAGAGACAGACTGTTCCTTCCCTCCGTGGGTCATTGTGCTTATGATGAGGCAGCTCGGAATTGACCCCAAGTCTGGGCGTCCAGTGGCTTCAGGAAATCTAAACTTGGGCCGTCGGAGAGCAAAAAATGGAGCTTGCAAGATTGCCCAGTGCGCCTGTCACCTCCCACCACAGCGGCAAAGGTGAGGTGGCTAAGGCACGAGACTGCGTGGGACGTCAGGCCCCAGAGACGGTCCTCAGCCACCCAGGCTCTGACCCCCAGGTGCTGCTCGCTCGGGCTCGGGCCCTCGCTCCTCCTGGGCTGCGTGCCGGCCCGGTCGGGCCGGGGAGCCAGGAAATCATTTTGTCCTTGGAAAAGCTGATGAACAGGAGTAAAATTCAAACCAGCTGTTTCCTCCTTAGGGTCAGGCCTCTTCCTGGCTGCCCCGCCAGGAGTTTCTCATTAAATACTGAAATGCAACCATGACATCCTCCTGAATCCTGTCCCTGCAGCTTCTTCAGAGGATCTCCCAGGTCACACATACAAAGGTCCTGTGGTTCACAAAGAGTGCGCACCTGCATTACTCCACAGGCAGCCAACGTGCTTTGTGCCTAAGAGGCCCACCCCCCCCCCTTCGGGGCCAGGACCTGGCCGATGGGGCGTCCAAGTGCTGCTTCCTGGGTGGGGGGGGTGGGTGGGCCGAGGGCGGACGGGGAAGCGGGCCCAGGGACACGCAGAGAAGGTGGGGTTTGAGAGGGAGGGGGGAGGGAAGCACAGAGGAAATGCAGAATAGAGATAAAGCAAAGGGGTCTGGCATTTATTAAGCAAGTGCTATGTGTCAGGCTCATGATCCCATCAGACCCTCAAAATGAGAAGAGGACTATCAGAGCTGCATGGGTGATGCAGAAGGAAGGTTCCGATTGCAGACCCCACCTGCTCTGGGTCACACAGCCAGTAAATGGTGGAGCTGGGCTTTGAACCTCTTCTGCTGCCTGAGCTCCTAGCTTCTTCAGCCTATGGGAGGAAGGAGAGAGAGAGAGGGAGGGGAAAGGGGGAGGGGGGGCAGCAAGGGGACAAGGGGGAGGGGCTCAGGAGGGGACAGTGACCCAGATGAGGAATGAGGAAGGAGTGGCTTAAGCCTGCCCCCAGAGTTGGCTCTGGCAGGGTTAGGGGCCAGGCTGGGTGGGAGAGGAGAGAACCCAACAGTGAGAGCCATGAGGGCTGTTCCCATTTTACAGATGAGGGAGCTGAGAGCGGCCCTTTGGGGCAAACGGACTCGGTATTTGCTTGGATGGAAGTGATCCGTGGTTCCCTGGCCCTCCTCTCTCCTATTCCTCCCTAGCATGTGGTGCTCTGGGGGAGCTGGGGTGCCCGGGGCCTGTGGTTGCCAAACCCTGATTTTGGAAAATTCCTGCTGGGGCATGGTATCCAGGACCAGGAGGAACCGGGAAGCCGCCTGTCCAACCACGAAATAATTCAGGAGGGGGGCTTGCTTGCTTTCTCCCTTTAAGGACAAAGTTGCTTTTGAATAAAGAGACTGAGGTGAGAGTGGGGCGCTGAGCTGGACGTTCCTGCCCCCCAAAACCCCTTTGCCTTCCTCCACCTCACAGAACAGCAGGCCAGGCTCAGAGAAGTGCAGCGTGCTATCCAAAGTCACACAGCAGTGCTGGGAAGCAGCAGCAGGAGGAAGCCCGAAACTCCCTACCAGTCCCCAAATTTAGGACTTCAAAGAATCTGCATTTTTTTTTTTTTTTAAGATTTATTTATTTATTTGACAGAGAGAGAGATAGCCAGAGCAGGAACACAAGCAGGGGGAG